GGCCAACTCATGTACGTCAACAAAACTTCAAGTACCTCTTCCAAAGATGGAAGGTGGGACAGGTGGAACAGCATTCCAGTCCAGGCTCTACAACGAGCACCTAGACCCGGAGGCACAAAGAGACAGAAAGGCACAGCCAACAGGAATTTTTCACCTCTTGTTTTCAAAACCCACAACATAGCAGAAAAGCCAAGGCCACTCCTGTCATAACCAGGGAACACTCTTCCCCACACTGGGGTCTTCAAGGTGACACCAAAGGCCCGCTCTATCTTCAGGAGATGACGCAGTCTCACAGCAAGTACTCCTATCCCCTCACAGACACAGGTGGGAAAAACGGAAACATTCATCTCACCCACTTCCCTCCAACCCAGACAAGCTGCACCCAAGTCAGAGGCCCCTCTGTTTGCAGCCCCCTCATGTTTGTATCCAATCGCAACATAAATTTAATAAAGAGAAAGAAATGAAAGGACATCCGTGGCCAACGGGAGGACGTCTGACACAACCTCAGGCCCATCTGCTAGAATCAAGTGACATAACTTTTTTTTTTTTTAAATCAGAAAGTCAGATATACAGAGAGCAAGAGAGACAGAGAGGAAGATCTTCAGTGCTTTGATTCACTCCCTAAGGGGCTGCAGCGGGCTGGAGCTGAGCTAATCTGAAACCAGGAGCCAGGAGCGTCTTTCAGGTCTCCCATGTGGGTGCAGGGTCCCAAGGCTTTGGGCCATCCTCCTCTGCTTTCCCAGGTCACAAACAGGGAGCTGGATGGGGAGTGGGGCTGCTAGGATTAGAACCAGTGCCCATATGGGATAGTTGCACATGCAAGGCAAGGACTTTAGCTGCTAGGCCACGCCGCCGGACCCCTGAGATAACTCTTAAAGTTGCCCAGTTTTCAGCACAGCAACCTGTTGGCACCTGACGGTACTGAAGCATCAACTGCCTCTTGTTGGAACCTATAAAACAAGTTCTAGAAGATCCGACCTAGGAGAGGAGGGTCTGGAGCACAAACGTGGAGCACCATGCTAAGGGCAGCAGCAGCGGGGACAGGAAGGGAAGAGTCAGGGAGGGGCCGAGGCCACAGTGGGTCTCCTCCAGGGACCAGAAGTCCCAAACATGGCCAGATGGCCCGTCGGCTTCAACAACTGCACTGGGTGTATTAACCAGGGCCTGGCCATGGGCCAAGACCAGTGAGCAAATATCCACACAGCACTGGAGCGTGCTTTCCTCCTTGACACGCACAGGCGGCATTCAGGAGACGGCAAGGCCTGCTGAGGACAGATAATCACCCACAGCATATGGCAAAGGGACATGAGCCTTGCTTCAGGCAGCACTGGCACCTTGGGGAAGGTCACTCACCCGGAAGGACAGCAAGAGGACAAGAGGCACCTGAGCAAGGGACATGCAGCAGCAGAGAAAGCAGCACAAATAACTGTGACATGGGAAGTTCACAAAATGACCCCCATGAGCCCAGTGCAGTAGCTTGGTGGCTAAAGTTCTTGCCTTGTATGCACATGTATCCCATAGGAGCGCTGCTTCTAATCCCAGCAGCCCCGCTTCCCTTCCAGCTCCCTGCTTGTGCCCTGGGAAAGCAATCAAGGATGGCCCAAAGCCTTTGGGACCCTGCACCCAGGTGGGAGATCCAGAGGAGGTTCCTGGCTCCTGGCTTCAGACTGGCTCAGCTCCAGCCGTTGCGATCACTTCAGTAGTGGATCATTGGACAGCGGGCCTTCCCCTCTGTCCTCCTCTCTGTTTATCTGATTTTCCAATAAAAATAAATAAATCTATTAAAAAGGGGAGGGGGAAGAAAAAATAAAACGACCCCAACGCCCCAGCCCAGGAGACACGACAAAATCACCATGCTGGACCAGAGCCCACGAGTCCAACAGCGAGCCTGGGCCAGAGACGCCCAAGACGGGGGCCTGTGGACCCAGAGGCTCCAGATGGACCCATGGCCTCTCCGGGGAAACCGAGTCACAATACACCCGACTCCCCTCGCCCACCCAGAAGAGGAACTAAAACAAACAGTCCTTGGGCATTGGTAGGGCAAGGCCTGCGGACGCCCAGGGCAGTGACCACCCCCACGTCCTTGGTCTCCCCATGAACCCTCGTCACCCGGGTCGGCCGCCTCCTGGGCTGCTTCCTATGCCAAAGAGAGGAACAGCCCCAGGGCATGATTGGCACACATATTTTACCAACATTCCTCCAGCAAATTATTTCAGATACCCTCTCAGGTTGCTTCGGAGGGACACTGGACTCTCATTCCTGGGGGAAAGACCTCCACAGGCCTCTGCCCCGGGAGTCCCCAGCCATTGCCATCATCGCCATGCCCTGTGGACATGTTTCTCTCTCTCCAACCCCCGCCACTCCAGGAGTCCCATCTTTGCTTATTCTCTGGCGGCTTATCCAGGCTGACCCAGGGTGGCCCAAGGTCTGCAGATCAGCCCTGACTCCTGGGGATTCTACGGGGTTCCCTGGCTCCCAGGGCCATGCCGCAGGCAATCCTGGCACACCCAAAGTGGGGCTGCCCTCCTACTGCTAATTGGCCTTGGCAGGCAGTACGTGGTGCTCAAGACCAGCTCTACGCATGCCATTCCCACAGGCGTCCACCTGCATTCAGGGCCCAGGCCTGCAGCCAGAATAGCACAGCAGCTAGGCCTCCACCAGGGGCAGCACCATCCCATGGGGCCCGGTTCCTATCCTGGCTGCTCCACTTCCCATCCAGCTCCCTGTCCAGGACCTGGGAAAGCAGCAGAAGAACTCAAGTCCCTGGGACCCTGCACCCACGTGGGAGGCCCAGGAGGAAGTCTTGTTTCAGACCAGCCCAATACTGACGACAGTGACATCTGGGAAGTGAATCAGCTACTGGAAGATCTACCTCTCTCTCTCTCTCTCTCTCTCTCTCTCTGTTATTTTGATTTTCAAGTAAAATAAACTAATCTCTAAATATAATAAAGGGCCGCAGTCTACACCAGGCTTTATTTATTTCTCAAATAAGCTTATTGGAAAAACGAGAGAGATCCTCTGTCGGCCAGTTCTCTCCCCAGATGCTCACAGCAGCCAGAGCTGGGCTAGACCTGAGCCAGGAGTCAGCAGCTCCATCAGGGCCTCCCATGTGGGTGGCAGGACCACGTCCGGGCTGTCCTCCTGGGCGCTGCCAGGCCCCCTAGAGCAAGCTGGACCCGGGCAGAGAAGCCAGGACTGAGTTGGTGTTCCAATATGGGGTGCTGACAAGAGACCACGGAACCCCTCAACCCCCACACAGGCTTGTAAGGTGTAACAGTGTGAGGCTGGAGTGGTCTTGGTGCCAGGCCGGCCTGCCCCCTCAGGGTAGGCCCTGTGTGAGTGTGTGGGCAGGGCAGAGTGCAGCAGCCCCACTGGCCCGGACCCTGAGTCTGTTGGGACAACGTAGTGTGGCCAGGCTGTGCTGCTCACACTGCGGGTTCCTCCTGTGGGTGGAGTTCATGTGTCCTAATCACCTTTCTTGGAGTTTCTGTTCCAAGAAGAAGCATAATGAGTGAATTCTGGATTTGGGGTTTCCGTCTCACAGCTCCTGAAGTTGAAGGACCCCATAAGGGCTTGAAGGACCCACACTCACTGGCTCTTGGCATAGCAATGTCCCTCCCAGTGTAGCCTAACTGGGGACATATCAGTCCATCAGCATGGGGTATCCCACTTTGAACAGGGCCGTGACCAAACTTGGTCCTGCAGCCTGGAAAGCAGCGCCCCTGCCCCTGACCCACAGCCCACTTCTAGAGAGGTGGCTAGAGGCAGTCCTCACTGGATGGGGTCAACCTACCTGCCCTATTGGTGACTGTCCAAGCGATAACCCCTTGTTCTGGAAGCACTGACATGACCAAGAGTGATTTTAGAACATTCTAGGCCTAATGACTCGTCCTGTGGGTACTGTGTGAAGATCCAACAGAAAGAAGAATAAGGCCAACATGGGCAACCCCTAGCCCAGCTAAGCCGTCAAACCCATCGTACCCCAATTCCAGTCCTCCACTCACCAGAACAGAAACAGTCCAAACCAGCCTGGCAGGCACCCCATGCTGGCTTTAACTTGTGCCTGTGTATGCAAGGGCTGACCACTCCCAACTGCTCCCGGCCCTGGTTCTCACGCTCACTTGCAGAGCTGTGGCCTAGCAGGGGTGTTCCCCACGTTGCCTTACCAGCCCTGCTCCCACCATTGCATCTCACATGAGCCAGCGCCCCAGTCCTGGCACTCACTGCATGGTACTGTGACCTAGCCCAACTTGCCCACAACAATGCTGGCTCTCACCTCTGGGTGTTACAGCGCAGTCTTGCCAGAAAAAACTCAGACCCAGCTCTCATGTGACCACTGGAGGACGCCACCTGGCCCAGCCTGTCCTACACCCATTCAGGTTCTGACATGAGGATGTGTGGTTCATTCTGGGCTGATCCTGCTGCTGCTGTGAGGAGTGGATGCAGTCTCCACACCAGGCTCTTCCAACACTTCATGGAAAACACGTCCTACGAAAGCCTGTGCAAGGATCCCACAGGTCTGGGCGCCAAATAAACACCTCCTCATCCCAATTCCCCAGGAGCTTCAAAATGATTAATTCATTTGTAAGGCAGAGGGATAGAAGGTGGGGAAAACAGAGAAAGATGTTCCAGGTGCTGGCTCACTCCCTGATGGCAGCCACAGGCCCAGGCACGGGCAGGGCCTCCATCTGGCTTGCCCCCATGAGGGACAGGGGACCCAGGTACTTGAGCCATCCTCGGTGGCCATCCCAGGGGCACAGGTAGGGAGCTGGACCAGAGCACAGCAGGCAGTGCTCACACTGGTACTGCAGTCCAGGATGGCAGAGCCAGCCGTGCCCCAATGCCAGCCCTGAGCTCAAGCTCTCTGAATGCCTTGTGCACTTTGGAGGGCGGGAGTGGTTCCTACTCTTAATACATAGAGATTGTGATGTAACTCACAGAGCAGAAAATTCACAGTTGACAGTAGGCAACACAAAGGAAGTAGGCGTGTCCTGTGAGGTACATGTATTTACTGAGTTCCCCTGCTGGCTCCCCGGGGTCAGCACACAGCTTGGTGCCAGGGTGGGGTAAGCCCTAGGATCCAGTGCGGGGGGTTGCGACCCACTCGGTGTCATGGACCTCCTCATTTACATCTGCATGGGAGAGGCCTCTGGGACACGGCCAGCATGAGCTCACGCTTTAGGAGCAGGGATGGGCCTTGACACCGGCTCATTTGGCTCACTCATCAGTCTGTTGTAGGGATCCATCAGAAGCTGGCTTCCCCACTGAGTGTGTAGAAGCCACTGGGGCATGAGGAAAGTCATCAGGCTAATCTGGAGAGGACAGGAGCCGGGTCAGCTCTTTGTGCTGCGCCTCCTCGGCCTCTCCCCTCCTCTGGACCACTCCCCTTCCACCTGGCCAAAAAACATCACCACCCGCCACCTGCCACCCGCCACACTGCGGCACCTGCAGGGCATGGCTCAGGCAGCCAGAGACGTCAGACGACAGGCCCACAGTGTCCAGCGCCTCCCGGGCAAAGTCTTCAGACCGCATGACCAGGGGCCCGGGTGGGAGGTTATTGGCCATGTTTGTGGAGACAAAAGCAGGAGTCACGTTCTACAGGAATGGAAGAGGGGAAGCCAGGGGCCGTGTTCATTCCCCGTGCCGTACACCTTCCTGCCCAGACACCAGAGACACTCCAGTGCAAGACCCTTCCCAACACCCTGCTTCCCTCAGGACACAGAGCCTGTGGGAATCCCCTGGGAACCCCTCTCTCATTCACCCCCTCGCACCCCTTTCTTTGACAGCCCCCTCACCCCTCCAAGTCCGCACCTGCACGGTGATGCCATAGGGGCGGTACTCTGTGGCCAAGGCGTTGGAGAAGCTTCGCACGAAGGCCTGAGCAGGAGGACAGGGACGGTGCCAGGAGCCAGAGCCTCCCCCAGGGCGGGGGCAGGGATGGCCTGCCAGCCCACCCTGGCCCTAGCCCTGCCTGCTCCTAGGACACTGTGTGACTACCGAGGCCAGCACCTCCCCTGCCTGCCTGAGGCCCCTGTGTCCCACACCTCCACTCCTCCGTGCACCTGCTCTCAGCCCCCAGCAGGACCCGCTCCCATCCATGTCTTCCCAGCACTCCAGTCACCTCTTCTCTCTCATAACACTAAGAAACCCAGGCTGGGCCACACCATCACCTTGGACGCAGAATACATGATAAAGAATGGGATGCTCCGCAAGCTGGCCACCGAGGAGAGGTTGATGATGACGCCTCTGTGCCTGCGTGGGGAGCAGCAGCCAGTGGGGACAGGGGAGGGCACCCCAACTCTGCAAAAACACAGGTGGAACCTGTGCGTGGGGGCAGGGACGTAGCCCAGGAAAGGTCCTCATTCCTACCTGGTGACCATGCGGGGCAGGATGATGCGGGTCATCTGTGGACAAGGGCGGCAGAGGCTTGTCCCAGCCCTCCTCCCCAACCCTCCTCCCCAACCCTCCTCCCCAGCCCTCCTCCCCAACCCTCCTCCCCAACCCTCCTCCCCAGCCCTCCGCCCCAGCCCTCCTCCCAAACCCTCCTCCCCAGCCCTCCTCCCCAACCCTCCTCCCCAGCCCTCGCCCCAACCCTCCTCCCCAACCCTCCTCCCCAGCCCTCCTCCCCAACCCTCCTCCCCAACTCTCCTCCCCAACCCTCCTCCCCAGCCCTCCTCTCCAGGCCTCCTCCCCAACCCTCCTCCCCAACCCTCCTCCCCAACCCTCCTTCCCAGCCCTCCTCCCCAACCCTCCCCAACTCTCCTCCCCAGCCCTCCTCCCCAACCCTCCTCCCCAGCCCTCTGCCCCTCGTGCTGCCCGGGCCCGGCCCCCTTACCTGGATCACTGACATGATGTTGCAGTTCACCAGGTCCGTCATGCTCTGAAGCAGAAGACAGGAGAGGAGAGCAGCTCACCCCTCCCTGCGCAGGCCCCCGGGCTCCCACCTGTGCTCAGTCTGGCCTCAAGCAGCTACTGCAACAGCCAGCACCCATGTCCCGTAAAAGAGCACCCACTGGGACAAAAGGCGCAGGCGCCTGCTCACCCTCAGCTCTGCTTCTGGAACCTTCCCCTTCCTGGCTCCTTGCCCATGAGCTAGCCTCACAAACACTCAGGGAACAACAGATTTGAAGTCAGGACCAACATTTGACACAGTTGGATAACCCTCCCCTGTAGCACCAGCTTTCCTTATTGGCAACTCTTGGTGTCCAGGAAGCTCCAGTTCAAAATATCTCCCTGCTTATGGTCTGAGGAAACAACAGAGTACGGCCTGTGGCCCTGGGCTCCTGTACCCACGGGGAGACCCGCAGAACGCTGGGCCCGATCCCGCCTTCCTGCTCCAGCTCCGGCCGCCTTGGCCATTTGCAGCGCCAGCCAGCACATGGAAGATACTATCTCTTTCCACTCTTAAAAAAAATACATCTTTACTTTAAAAACAGAAAAAGTTGAGGTTCCTTGAGAACACATAACCCTGGAAGGACCTGCTAATTTGTTCACAATATATATGTCTTATTAATTTTTCAATATTTTATATTCTCCCCTAACCCATTGCATTTTATTTTTGAAAGGCATAGTTACAAACAGGAGGAAAGATGAAGAGCTGTCCCTTCACTAAGTCACTCCCAAATGGCCACAACAGATCGGAAGTGGAGCACCCAGGGTGTGAACCGGCAGCCATGGAGAAGGCCGGGACCCAGGCAGTGGTTTAACCTACTATGCCAGGTGCTGGCCCTTCATGAATTTCTTTGAGTAACACACACATGCCTGAATTTGTAAAAATGTTCTCATCAAAATAAACATTTGTGTAAGTTATTCATTTCTGTGATACACTGGGAAAGGAGAAAGAGACAGAAAGAGAACTTTTGTCTTCTGAGTCACTCCCCATACGGCTAGAACGGGTGCGATAGACCAGACATAGGCAGGAACATGGGTGGCCAGGGTCCAGGCGCCAGGGCTCCTCTTTCGTTGCTTTCCTAGCTGCATCAGAGCGAGTCAAAACAAGAAGCTGGGACTGAAACGTGCTCCCTCTGGGATGGTGGCCCTGCCAAGTGGCGGCTCAGCCTGCAGCAGCACTCCTGCACCGTATTTCCCATTTACAACAAAGATTGCTTCCTTTAGATCAAGATCCTTGGCAGCAAGGACGATCCTCGGTTGGTGCACGTCCATACACTCCCCACGGTCCTCTCAGGGCTGATGCCAGAAGCTGGGTCCCGTCCAGGTGCCACACATTCCTGGCATGGGACCTATTACCCCTCATCTGGTACTGTATGAGTGGAGATGCAATGGAGCCTTTTCCACAGACAGTGCCATGCAGGTTGGTTGAGTGCCCACACAGAGAAGAACAAAGGAGACCCCAACAAACAACGTTCCGGAGAGCTTGAAGTAGCCACACGCTCGAGTAGCAGCATTGGTTCTTGTATTCAACAAATATCTTAAAAATCAATTCATTCAGTCACTAACTAGAGGCAGAAAAGTTGACAAACAAGAAGGAGAGACAGCAACCGAGATCCGTTTCACTGGTCCCTGCAGTCCCAGCAGTGGCTAAGATGGGAGCTCAGCCCAGCTCTCCCCTGCAGGTGGCTAAACCCAAGGTCAGCAGCCAGAGCTGGGCTAGAACCCACACACTCCGATTGGGGAGGGCACGTGGGTGTCTGAAGCACGAGGCCCATGGACCTACCCCCCCGGGGATATTCTGTAAAGCCGGCACCACAGGGCAGGGAAGGTGGTGAAGGGCTGCCATGGGCAGTGGGCAGCAGCACAGCAGGCACCTGCCAGCAGCCGCGAGGTGCCTGCGTTCCGACAGAGGGCAGCACAGAGTCGGCGAGCAGTGCAGGCCTCCCAGCAAGGCTTCACTTACTTGTCCAGGGTCCTTGCACTCCAGAAGCCTCTTCAGCTTGCTGTCTGCATAAACCATGCCCACGTTGTTCACTAGGTGGGGAGAGGACAGAGGGGTCAGCGGACAGCGCCGGTGGCCGCAGACAGGGGAGCAGGCAGGGGAGGGCGAGCCGGCCTGGCTGCGCACCCAGCACTCCTATGTCCAGGTCCTGCAGTCCTGCCTCGATGTCCGCATAGATCTCCATGCCCCGGGTGAAGTCAGCCTGGATGACTCGAGTCTGCCGGCCATGCAGCCGCTCTGGCAAGGGGTAAGCGAGAAGGCCAGGCCCTCAGCTGGCCACAGCCTGAACACTGGCCCCGCTGGCCTCCAGCCCTGCCCGGCCCCGGGGAGACCCTGGCTCTCACCAATCTCCTTGGCCTCCTGCTCCAACTTGCTCAGGCTCCGACTGATGAGCACCACGTTGAGACCTCTCCTGGCCAGCTGTGCAGGGGTGCAGGGGTGCAGGGAGCAGGGTCACCCACTTACTCCTCCTGCCTGCTGCTGGCCACCACAATCCAGGCTCCCGCAGCAGAGGGGAGTGCAGGGCCAGGCAGCAGCCAGAGGCACAGCTGCAGGAGAGCCAGCCCATGGCCCTGAGCCGCAGCCCAGGCACAGCAGGGCTCCTGGACACTGTGAGCTCAGAGGGGACCCACCCTGCCATCCCAGGCAAGGCTTTCTCAGGCAGGGAAAGCAATGAGAGGCAGAGAGAGAGGAAGAGAGAGGCAAGAGGGAGAGCCAGTTGTATCTTGTATCTTGTGCTTCCCTCCTCCATGGCCAGGAGCCCTGGGCTGGGCCAGGCAGGGCCAGAGCCAGGAGTCCCTGCTGCTCTCCCCGCAGGTGCCCCAGGCCATGCTCCCTGCCTCCCCAGGGCCATTAGCAGGGATGGGGAAGGGGGAGGTGGGTCTAGAAGGCACACCCTGACATAGGATGTTAGTGTCACAAGCGTCAACTTAAGCTGTGTCACCACCGCACTGGTCCCAAGCACTTGCTATTTGCTGAGTTAATAATTAATTTCGGCCTGGCATGAAAGCATAGTGGCTAAGGTCCTTGCCTTTCATGTGCTGGGATCCCATATGGGTGCCAGTTATTATCTCAGCGGCTCCACTTCCCATCCAGCTCCCTGCCTGTGGCCTGGGAATGCACTCCAGGATGGCCCAAAGCCTTGGGACCCTGCACCTGTGTGGGAGACCCGGAAGAGGCTCCTGGGTTCAGATCGTCGCAGCACCAGCCATGGCGGTCACTTGGGGAGTGAACCATCGGACGGAAGATATACCTCTCTGTCTCTCCTCCACTCTGTATATCTGACTTTCCAAGAATAAATAAATCTTAAAAAAAAAAATTGTAATGAATGAATTCGAAGCATGCCCCACATCAGGGACCTGGGGTGGGTGGGAGGCTGTGGGGCTTCTCCCTGTACCCCAGATACATGAAAAAAACAATGTGGAAAATATAGTCATACCCACTTTCCTGTAGCCCTTGAACCTTTTCCCCTAATATACTATGTAAAGATTGTCAAAAACAAATAAAAATAAATAATGAATGAGTTCCCCACCTGTCTCTCTCTCTCTCTTTCAAGTAAGCCTGAGTTGGCACGTTAGGTCTCTGCCTGTCCTCAGCTGCAGTCTCCCATACGGGACAGGTTCAATTCCCAGCTGCTCCACTTCCCTTCCAGCTCTCTGCAGAGGACGGCCCAAAGCCTTATGCCCTTATATCCACAGAGTCGGAGGGACGAGGGGAGGCGGGGGTTCGCCTGCCGCCGGCCACGGGCTCATCTCTCTCTCTCTCTCTCTCTCTCTCTCTCTCTCTCTCTGTGTGTAACTCTGCCTTTCAAATGAAAACATAAATAATAAATCTTTCAAAAATAAAGTTAATAGAAGATGCGAGCGACAGACACGGCTCTGGGTCTCCCACAGGAGCAGGCAGAGGCCAAGTGCTGGGTCGATGGTTTGCTGCCCCGTCGGCTGCATCAGTGCTGGGACTGGAACCGATACCCACGATGGGGGCTCCACCTCTGCCCGTCAGCCACAGCCCGGCAGGGTCTTTATGTTTTCCACATGGACTGGTTTATTTGAAAGGCAGAGTTTGCCCTGAGAAAGCGAGAGTTGGAGAAGTTTCGCCTCACGCCCGGCTGGCTGCTGTGGCCACAGCCGGGCTGCTGGGAAGCCAGAGCTTCCCCGGGTCTCCCAACAGTGCGCACTCTTTTACTTTCACTTCTTCCTCTTACTTTCACTTTTTCCGGGGCAGATCTGGAGGCCTCCTTGTCCATGCTGAAAAGAGGAGTCAGGACGACAATGGGCTCAAGAACGAGAGGCCGTGGGAGGCCAGGGGAGCACCGTGGGAGGGCAGCAGAGCCTGGCCCAGGTCTGTCCTCACACAGAGCAGAAGCCAAAGTCACTTCCAGCAGGGCAGCTCCTGACATCCAGACAGCCTGCAGCAGCACCCGCCACACACACCCAGGACACCCAGCCTGCTCACCTCGTGTGCATAAGCCTTGCCAATGCCCCCAGTGGCTCCAGTCACCACTAGAGGGGAGAGAAGATAAGCAGGTGGGCACAACCCAGGGAGCCTCCCACACTCAGCCTGGCCCTCCACCCTCCCTCCTGCCCTCCACCCTCCTTCCTTCCCTCCAGCCTCCCTCCTTCCCTCCAGCCTCCCTCCTGCCCCTCCACCCTCCCTCCTGCCCCTCCACCCTCCCTCCTGCCCCCCACCCTCCCTCCTGCCCCCCACCCTCCCTCCTGCCCCTCCAGCCTCCCTCCTGCCCCTCCAGCCTCCATCCTGCCCCTCCAGCCTCCATCCTGCCCCTCCAGCCTCCATCCTGTCCCTCCAGCCTCCCTCCTGCCGCTCCAGCTTTCCTGACACCCACCTTCCCTCCTCCTGCCCTCAGCAGCCTCCATCTGACTGCTCCCTCACCCCTGCTCCCTCTCCTGCACAGGGGCCATCTCCCAGCCTTCACCTCTTCTTCCAGGAGTCTCCCCGTCCATGCCCCATTCAGGGTCCCTCACCTTCCTCCCGTCCTCACTCCTGTGTCCTCACACCCCCGGGCTTGGGACAATGCCCTCACTCTCACCTGCCCAGGCTCCCTGTGCGCGAAGCCACGGGGCACCACGGCGAACCTGGGGCAGCAGGTAGACGTACACTCCACGGGCCACCGCCCACACGACCTGCAGCAGCAGCCACACGCAGGTGACGGCCCCCAGCGCGCTCAGCACATCCCACCTGGACTCCATGGCGGCCAGCACCAGACCTGCAACTGGAGCAGGAAACACCGCGGGCAGCAGGGTTTATCTGAGCTCTCCCTCTCTGTCTCAGGCCCTCCCTGGCCACAAGTCCAATGTTCACAGCCCCAGCCCCCTCTATTCCCTCTAGCCAGCCACACCCACCTTCCCCACCTTTGCCACCTGCCTGCTGTCTCCCCTAGAGAGGATGGGGGTCCCTCCCCGTAGGCCCCCTCTAGACCGGTAGGAGGCCTCAGCGGGATGAGCACAGCACACCTGACCTGTCCCTCCCCCACTCCTCCTCCTCCCTCCCATAGACTATTTTCTGTGGGTTCTTTCCGCTGTTGTTAACGGTTCTCTTCCTTACAAAAGAGATAAAAACATGTGATTAAAAACTGAACCTAACATTTACTACTTAATCCTTTTGGTCTTGCAGGACTGGCGGCACCCCTGGTTTGTGGATCACAGGAATTCTAGTGACCATGAGCAGCGGACGAAGGTACCGCTGTGCCCGGCGACGACCAAGATGAGGCTGTGCCAAGACGAAGGGAATTCTTACCGCAATACCTCTGACCAGCCGTCAAATATTAACTTGGACTTGAGAACCGGTATCTTTGACTGACAAAATTGTGAACCAAGGCAACCAGAAAAAAAATATCCAGTTCCCATTTTCTCAAATTCACACGTTGGAGGCTGTTGCACCTGCCAGCACACACGAGAGCTGGGATTCAGGGCAGCCCAGGCAGGTGGTACCTAGCGGGTCAGAGGGGCAGGCCACCATGGGCCAGGCAAGCAGCCTGGCTGTTCATCTCAGACACGTGGTGATATCAGGGACAGACCCCGTGGGTGTGTGTGGTCCAGCCACGGAGGACACGCATCGTTAGGCTGGCTACCTCACTTACTTCTTCAGAGCACAGATGAGGATGCTGATGGTGTGTGGGACGTCACCCCCCGGCACTGAGCGCAAGTTCTCAGGCCCAGGGCAGGGGTCCCCAAGGTGAGACGGAGAGCTCTGAAGCCAGGATAGGCAAACCCTACGCCCTCATCAAGACGTGACGATGCGCTGCCTTCAGCAGTCCTTAGACTGGAGTCAGAAACCTCGGAGGGGGAAATGAAATGGGATAGGAAGGTAGGTAACCGGCTAACTCGGGAAGCCGCCCTCCTGGTGCTCTTCGTGAATCCCACCCACTTGGGACCCCCAGGATGCACTTCCTCTCACTGGGGCCTGGGACGAGACCATGAATCCCCTCCCCTTTCCCAGACCATAGCAAGACTGGTGACGCGGCGGGGCCGACTCCCTCCTCCCATGGACACAGACTGGAGGGCAGTGCTTGCTTCGGCAGCACGAGTACTAAAATCGCAACGATACAGAATGGCTGCCATAAAATTGCCCCCTCTCCCGCCTTCCCCCACTGGATCTACTTCACCCCTAAACATACCCCCACAAGGATGTGACTTCCTCTGCTTTTAAGTAACTTTAAAAAAAAAAGAAAGAAAGAAAATTCCAACGGATTCTGCTGGATACTGGTTGGAAAACGCTGGCCAAGGCTGTGCCCGGTGATTCCAGTGTGTTACTGAGACCAAAGCACAGTGCAGGGGCAAGTGGAGTGAACCGCTGAGCAGTCTTGCTGCAAATACATCAATTATTTTTACTTTTTTTTTTTAGATTTATTTATTTTTATTGCAAAGTCAGATATATATAGAGAAGAGACAGAGAGGAAGATCTTCCATCCGATGATTCACTCCCCAAGTGAGCGCAACTTTTCTTAAACTGTCACCAACCTAGGTTCCCAAACTCCCTCATCCCCTAACTCCCTCCCTCCCCTTGCCTGTCCAGCTAAGCCCTGGGTGCCCCTCTCCTATCATCCCTCCTACCTCAGGGGCCATGCAGGGTTAGAGTGTTGCTTCCAACTATCTCAACCAATGGGGAGCCCTGAGAGGGAACTCGGCTAAGGCCTGAGCCTCCTGCCAGCTTCTGCCGGGAGCTAGAGGAGGGCCCAAGCTGGAAGCCACTTGCCCCTGCCCAGGTCACCCAGATCTGCCCGCCTGTCAGTCAAAAGACCCCTTTCTCAGATGTCCCGCCACTCCCCTGGACCTGGGGGACTGGCCAGGTACCCACACTCTTTCCCAGCTCAGAAGCAGCCCAGCCCTGGGAGGGCATCTCTTCCTGCTGTGGACATACAGCAGGCTGTGACCAAAATATCTCTCTCTGACTCTCTCTTTCTCCTTCCCTCCGTTTCCCTCCCTCCTGGGGTCACCTCTCTGCTTGTTCTCTGCTTGTTTCCCCAGGTGAACCCAGGGCCTGCTCCCACTGGCCCACACCCCTGCCACCTGGCCTGGGCCCTCTCCCCTCGCAGGCAGCTGCTCTGCAGTGGGAACCCGAGGTCGCAAGTGGTGGCCCCAGGCCTGCAGCGTCCAAGGAGTCCTGATGGCGTGAACCAGCGAGTGGGTCGCACGGGCCACGCCTGCACCCAGCTGCTCTTACCACAACCTGCTCCCATGGCGGGTGGCCCCAGGCCTTCAGGTCAGCCCTGACTGACGTGGGGTCTTCTGCGGGACTCCGTGGCTCCCACAGCCAGCTGTGGGGCAGGCCTCTGTAGGGGACGCCGGGAGCGCTGCCCTCTCTGGGACACAGGTGGCCCGCAGTGTTCACAAGGCACTTACTGGCTTCAGGCCTGGTTTGCCTATCATGCCACACACCCCTCCTGGGGGTAAAGGTCCCGCATCCCAGTCAAACTTCTTTGCCATGAGGGACCAGCCCTCACTGGCTCTCCGTGCGGTAATGTCCCCTCTAAGGGTAGTCTGCCTGGGCCACAGGTCGGCAGGTCTGCCTGGGGGTACCCCGCTGTGCGGGGTAACCAGAGGCACACACCTCCTCCACAGATTTCACGGCATCTTCCGTCCCTGCCTGGAAAGCAGCGTCCCTGCCCCCATCTCCTGGCCTACCTGCAGAGGAGGGAATCCTTACCTTCCTGTCCCGGCTGCTCCACTTCCCATCCAGCTCCCTGCTGTGGCCTGGGAGAGCAGTCGAGGACGGCCCAAAGCCTGGGGACCCTGCACCTGCGTGGGAGACCCAGGCAGAATTCCAGGCTCTTGCTGTGGGACTGGCCCTGCTCCAGCCCTTGTGCCCACTTGGTGAATGAATCAGCAGATGGAAAAATCTCTCTGTGTGTCTCCTCTCTAACTCTGCCTTTCAAATTAATAAGTTTTAAAAACTTAGAAATCAGTTTAAGATGCCAAATGACACCCATGTCGAGTTCCATTTTTGCCCCCTCTCAGGGTGCTGGTCACTGCAAGTCCTTGCTCTGTGCTCTCCAGGCCGTCTGGGCTCCTGCCACCAACAGCCCGTCCCCAAATCGGCCTCATCCCTTCAGCCAGAAAGGCTCCTGTCGGTCATTTTATCTAGAATGATTTATTCATTGGAATGGCAGTTACACAGAGACACTGACTGAGAGAAAGGGATCTTCCAGCTTCTTGTTTGATTCCCAAATGTCTCCACCGGTTGGAGAGCTGGGCTGCAGCCAAAGTGGGGAGCCAGGAGCTCCATCCGGGTCTCACAGGCCCAAGCTCTTAGGCCCATCCAGCCCCCTGTTTGTGGCCTGGGAAAGCAGTCCAGGATGGCCCAAAGCCTTGGGATCCTGTACTCGTGTGGGAGACCCAGAAGAAGTTCCTGTCTCCTGGCTTTGGATCAACTCAGCTCTAACCTTTGCAGCTTCTTTCTCTCTGTCCCTCCTTCTGTCTATAAATCTGTCTTTGCAATAAAAATATAACAAATCTTAAAAGAAAGAAAGGAAAAAGAGAAGTTAGGGGCCGGCTTTGTGGGTAAACTGGCATCCCACATGGGAGTCAGTTTGTGTCCCATATACTCCGCTTCTGATGCAGTTCCCTGCTGATGACCTGGGAAAGCAGAGGAGGATGGCCCAAGTATTGTTGAACCCCTGCAGGCATGTGGGAGACCTGGAAGGAGCTGCTGGCTCCTGGCTGCAGCAGGGCCCAGCCCTGGCCCTTGCACCTGTCCCCGGAGTGAATTAGCAGATGGAAGATCCTCGCTCCCTGATTCTCCCTCTTTCTCTGTAACTCTTTCAGAGAAATAAACGCATCAGTCCGGGCCAGGGCTGGGGGCCAGGACCGCGGAGACCCCAGGTACTGAGTGGGGTGTGGGTTAACCAGTAGGCTATTTCCTCCCACCCCCACCCCCCCACGCGCACACACACACGCACACACACACTGGCCTTTCACATTTCCTGATGGGACGGTTCCAGTACATCCCCCTTGAACGCTCCCTTCCCCGGGCGGGCCGTGCACCAGGGCGGGCCTGCCTGCTGGGTTACTCTCTTCCAGTACTGCGTCACACGGTCACCTAACACGGCGACAGAGAAAACCTGCCTCAGTGCTGGTGTTGTGGCGCAGTGGGTTAAGCTGCCACTTGCAGTACTGGCATCCTCTCATGTAGGAACTCCAGCTGGGGTCCCAGCTGCTCTGCTTCTGATCCAGCTACTTGCTAATGCGACTGGGAAAGCAGCAGAGGGCGGGTCAGGTGATTGGGCCCTCCCCCCCGCATCCACATGGGAGACCCTGAATGGGAGCTTCTGGCTGTCAGTCAGCCGGGCTCAGCCCCTGGCAGCACAAGCGGGTAGGGGATGAGCTGTTTTGGCCACTTGGGATTCTGAATTAGCCAATGGAAGATTTCTTCTTCACTCACTCAGTCTCCCCCTCTTCCTCTCTGTAACTCTGGCTTTTCAATTAAACAGAATATAAAACGCAGAAAGGAAGGAAAGTGCAGTCTTTCTGTGGCCCCTGGAGTACTGTCCTGTGCTGTAGACCCTTCACCCAGGTTTCAGAGCTCCAGGCTGTGGACAAGCAAGCCCTGGCCACTGCTGGGTTTCCAATCCCTTTTTCATGCGAGGGTGGGGTGGGAGGATGCGCTGACACCCGGCCAGGGGCTGCAACAACCACCGGGGAAAATGCTGTGAACCAGACCGGATCCGCAGCCAGCAGGTGTAATTCACGCCTTTGGAGGGATCAGATAACCTGCTCCCCACCTCCGCCCCCCTCATCACAGCCACAGCCTGAGCTCTCCCGTGGGACTGCTGCCCTCCCGGGACACAGGCTGGCTGGAGGGCACACAGAGGGGCATCCAGCCCCACGCTCCTCGCTGGCC